AAAAAAAAACATTTAAAAATCGTTCTGAATCGATTAACGAGGATTAGGCACCGATTCTATCTCTCAGCCACTTGTACTCGCTTTTCACCGCACCTCTCCCCCGTGACACGCGTCGTCACTGTCGTCAGTCCGTCGGAAGCTCTCGAATGACGTCGTCGGATGTTTCTATTATCTAATTTGTTGTGAAAAACACTACTTATATATGAATAAATAGATTAGTTTTTTATCAAAAAACTTTATTTATGCGAGTACTATTTATTGTCGGCAAGAAAAAATTTTGTGGCTCTTTATAAACTTTGAAATTTTGTAAATTGTAATTTTGGCTCTTCCGACTCAAAAGGTGGCCGACCCCTGAGTTAGTGTATACTAGTAGCCCGGACGCCCCCTAGTGGGTGTTCTTTACAAATTCCCATGAGGCATGGTTCCCTTGACTCTTTTGTTCTTATCAATATATTCTACAGCTCTGTTAACGTCCCAATCGCGTCATACGGATCTACATTTCTACCTATTAAACATTCTATAAATACTTTAAAATAGTTTAATTTGTAAACGTCACACCGGAAGACGCATTGGACCGTACCAAATGGAGAAGGGCATGCAAGAAAGCGGACCCTACATAGAAGCAGGACTTCGACGCTAGGAAGAAGAAGTTTAATTTGTTTATTTACCTTCGCTCGTAAACCTCGATTTTAAATGTATCTTCCATTTTTTTCAACAAATTTCCCGTGAGTCAATGCGCGACGTTCACACGGTCACGGGATGTTGTAAACGTGCGGCGCCGCAAGGATCGAGGCATATAATAATTATTTATACCATTCCGTGCTATAAATAATAAATTCCTATTACAAATAAAAATAATTTATTGTTAATTTAAAATCATCGCTAGGGCGCCTCTCTAGTGTCCGTTTTTGGCATACCGTTACACGGACGTTCGGACACGCGTTCAATGGTTTATATAGATAGATAGTGCAATATGTCATTTAACAATATTATTCATCAAAGATAGTATTCATCGACTTGATATTTCTGTTAGTATTATCTGTTAAAAAATTAATAGAAATTAATATTTATTAAATTAAACAAATTCGGCGAAAGAGAAATTTCGTAATAATGAATTTGGGAAAAATTTTCATCTATCAAAAGTTATGATAATAATGTATAATTAACATTGTAGTTTAATGAAAGATAATCAGTAATATATTCATTACAAACAAAAACTAATTAAATGTAAATTATTTTACTTAAAAGAAATAATAAATAATAATAATAAATATACATATTCCTATTTGAGTTCGGAACCTCAGGTGGCGCTGTGTATGTAATCTTCCCGACTTGTTTGTAGGGTGGTCCGAAGCATGTTGGTACCTTTGTTCGTTAATGACTTCTTTGTAAGTAAAACAATTTATGGTATTCGCTATTTTTTACTGGAACGGAAAGGCTTAAATACTTCAATCACCTAATTTAAGTCATTTGCTACATTAAACTGTTTGATGACACACAATACCTAAATTATAGACGTGATCGTGTGTTCAAATTCAGCCTATCGGAATGCTAAGTGTAAAACACAAGAAGTGTGGGTAAGATTGCAGATGCGAATAACACTGTTGGGACCTCACCGGAACTGTAGAGCATGCCCATAAGTGCAAAAAAGTCAAAGGGACCATACCTCTAAATATGATCCTTCGCGAGATACACCCCCTCAAAATTAGCCTAAAGCCTACTTCCAGGTGCTAAAGGGAATCACGCCGAGCTTATCTCGTGTTTAGCAGTCAATACAGCACTATGATAAGACATCCTAACAATATTTATAGGCAAATAACAAAGTAAAGACTGATAGTGAGATATTCGCCTCCGAACGTGGTGGAATCTTATGGCGGCACTTCCGGTCGCCATCTTGCTTGCGGACGTCACTCTTGCAAATAAGTAAGGCTTCGTTCTGCCGACGACAACGAGAAAAATCGATGATTTTATCGTTCCTCTTTCTCTGTAAAACGTTCACACAGTCGTTATTGTTGGTCTTTCGTCTTTCCAAACGGGACATTCCAGTTTTCAACGCTGATCTCAACGTTCGTTAAAAATCGTTCCTGTTTTCAATGTTGAAGTGGCGCTGTTGTCAGCGTTGTCTCAACACACTTGGCACTCAACATACATGTCGATTGCTACGTTCCAATGAATTGTGGGTAATTGGTGCGACATTTGAATGGAATCCACCTTGCTGAGAATGGAATTATGGGAACTAAGCACTTAGTACTAAGGCGCTAGATAACCCAGGTATGCTCATCCGTCATGTTGGTCCTTAGAAAGCAGACGACTCTCGTAGAAGTTCAATAGAAGAGACACGAAAATAATCATAAATTCAACTGTATCTTAAGATTTTGCAAGGTCGAAATGATAAACTTTGCCAAAATTTAGTTCAACTAGTTATAAAATACAGCTAAATTTAAAAATCTTGGAATATGACGTCAAAAGGACCAATATGGCTGCACACGTGACGGAAGCGTATGAGCATACCTGGGTAATCTAGCGCCTTACTTAGTACTAGAGTGGGAACGTCGTTGGTGACGTCAAATTGTTGACTTCGACACTCAATAATCGCATTGAAAATCGGAATGTCCCGAAAGCTAGCCAAGATTCAAAATTTGTCATCCTCGTTATGAATTGACCAATCAACGCAAACTTCCCACAATTCTTTGAACAAGATGGAGGAACCAAAGAAAAAGGTTCTACGAAGCTTAATAAATACTCAAGTATTTGGAGACATAAAAAAATTTATCACTTTTTCTCTCAGTACGAATGGCTATGATTATCGTTGACGTTTGGATATTTTCCTTTAACAAAAGTAATAAATACCTCTGTTGGAGTTGAAGAATTTACGTATCTAATTTTAAAACAGACGAGTCCAGTCTAGAAGCATACAAAGCCACAGAATGACATTAAGCCTAATGTACGTTGTGCATGGTTTATGACGAAAACTAATGAACAATGTGAAAGCTATGAAAATGACAAAAGACAATTTGTCTTCTGCAATACATTTCTAGTCTAGTCTTGTCTTCAATTATAATAGCACTATAACGGCTTTTTCTTTTTTGCTAGCAAATAAGTCTAGCAAAAAAGGAAAAGCCGTTTTTCGTTATAGTTTGGGATCTGTGGTTGTTGTTGTCGGTAGTGTGAATGCAGCTTTATGTTATAGGTACTGTGATCAATGCCTGTAAAAAGTAATAAATGCATTAACTTCTACTGGCCAATAACAGTTTTTATCTTGAACCAGTATTACTACCAATTCTCCATTCTCCATGTCATCAAGGTGAGTGATAGCAAGCCTTGACTGATGCTCTATGTGTAGGTGTGTACTTCAGTGTGAGTGATAGTGAGCACCTTGGTGCCAGGATGGAGCGAGCCCTCACATTTTCTAAAATTATAAGATTAAATACTCCACAGACAGTCAACTGGACTACTCAAAGCTGGCATAGTCATGTGGGCTAAATAGTTAAATGTGAGTCTTAATGGGGTGCGTGGCACAGCTTGTGATTACATGCAGTTGATTTCAGGGGACTATATCTTGCAATTGGTCACATGTAGAGGTTTCTTTGACTTTTTTGCTCCTATGGACATGCTATACAGCTCTGTTAAGGTCTCAACATCATTGTTCCTGTCTGCAATTGTACCAAGGTGTGTCTATGTAACATGAAGCATATTTTTTAACTTAATATATGAAACTATGCTTCTCAGAAATGTTATGAAATAGATATTGATACCAATAATAAACGAGCAACAGATAAATCAAATGGAGAATAACAAACTTCACTTGTTACTATGTAAACTGAAGGAGGATTATATTACTGTGCTGGAGAAAAACAAAACATTGCAGTAAATAATGGACCTTTCTCTTGTAGTTATATTACATCAGATAATAGGCTGAAGATATATACAGAAAGCTGAAAACAATAAAAGTGTTCCATCAAATTTTTCTCCTCCCACCAAACCCAGAAAATGAATCTAATTCAAACTAAATAATGAGGACATTCAGAAGAAATTCACAATGAAACCAGATTTACAGACTAAAGAATGCTTTATGCAGTAAAGATACATCTGACAACTTGAAAGCTGTATGTTTCTGAATAACAAAAAGAATGAGTTAGATCAATGAATGATGCCAGTTTGTGAAGTATCAGAAATAATTTCCAAATCTGGAAATAATTAACTCTATAAAACATTTCATTCCAGAAAACGTCAACCTCTCTTGATAAATAATGTCAGTAAAAAATTCTCAGTTTGAGTGTTTAACATTTTTGGTCCAAAATAAAGGAATAAAATAACTGTTAAGTGGATAAATCTGAATTCATTTCCACTTATTGATAAGCAGAAAAAGTTTGAAAATAGTTGGATTTCTTATGTCAGTCCGGATATCAGATGTATGATAAACAAACAAAAACATTACATGGGCTTAAAATCCAGTGTTGGATTTCCTATCAGTAATCCAATGCTATAAATGTAGAAAATTTTGTCGTTTTACCAAAAATGTACCCCAACAAAACCTGGCTGCATTCACTGTGCAGATAAAACATATTACTATAAACATTGCATAAGGAAAAATGATCATACAGTTATAACATGTATTAACTGTCTTAGATGAATCATGAATCATAAATGGAAAGAAGACAACATCCAAATAAATCACCGTGAAAAGAATCAAAACTCTGTATTCCAGAATTAAAACAAAACTTATCACATTAATCGATTTATGACACACATAATATCACCAGTCTATTGGTCCTACAAGTAAATATGCAACATGCTAAGACTTCCATATACAGTCTTGTACAACTTGTGTATAAAACCAAAGTGGTTATTCTACTACTACTCTTCTACTCTAAGAGAGCTCTGTGGTTTGGGAATGATATTATAGTAAAATTTACAGTTTTATGCCTGAATTTTTGGCCACACAAACCTTACGATGATTGTATTCTACAAATCATAGGGATATTGGCACTATATATTTGGTTTTGGGGATTTTGGCTTCTTCCTTGATTCTACACCTTGTAGGATAAAATAGTTGGCTTCATCCAATACTGGAAAATCTTTTGTGCAAATTATAGAATTTTCTTGGCATGTGTAATTCTATGTTTACATATCACTATAATGGCAGTGCCTTTTGTTGCACTGAATAACTGATGTGAAATAATCATAGTTTAATTTGACTCCAAAATATTCATTTCCTCAGCATACTGCACTCACTCTCCCATTTATTCATATCATTAATACAATATTTGCTATCCTAGATAGTAAAAAGCTAATAATAAGTACTGATTCTAACTTCAGCAGCATAAAATATGACAGACAATAAAACGAGAGGGGCAGTAGATTTTGTACATTTATGTATTAGAATGTATATAGCATAATTTGAATCTGGCCCATCTTTTCATTCCATGCAAGGAGAAAGTTGATGTAATGCTTGATGGGGTCAATGGTAATGCATTAATTGACAACTGCAGTCATGTTAGTAAGAAATTTGCTCTGATCACAGTACTTTCTTTTTTGATATTACTCTTCCTGGTAAACATCTGATTGACCACACCTCAGACTACAAAAAGACAAACTGAAACGTCTTCAAAGACTGTCGCTCTGAGGAACTCTGATCTTTAAAACTTAACATTTTTACAATCCATATGCCATAGATATTTATAATTGAAAAAGATCCTAAAAGCCACAGCAGATGAAGCCATTCTGGCAAAACTGACTGGCATTAAAATGTATTCCTGGCAGATACTAGAACTAACCTCTATAAGAAAACATCAACAGTTTGAGAAGATGCTAACAACTGCAGAACAACCTAGACTTATTCTGCTCTTCCAGACAAAATATAAGACTGCCATAAAGACCAAAAACAAACAGTTAGTGCAAGCCTAAACCACATCTGGAAGAAGTACTGTTCCAATACCTGTGAGAATACTCTATAAAATCTTAGCAAGAAATACATCACTACAGCCCCATCAACAACTACGAAACCAACATTACATCCCCTTCAGATTCCATTGATTTCAATGCCTGTTACATTAATATCTCAGGAAAATGTGGACACATATAATATACCTTCAGAAATCTCTGAAAAATGAATAAATTAAGATCTGCTACCTGCTAGTGTTTTTCTAGTTATCACAAAAGTTGAACTGCATGAAAATATATACTCTGCACAAAGCCCTAGTATTAGAGAGACTAAACATCATCCTCCTGCAAATAACTTATAAAATAGAAATTACCTTCTAAAGATATGTAACACCTGTTGAAAGTTTCCTATTTTCCTGAATGCTAGAAGGTAACCAAAGTCATTCCACTTAAGATGGAAACCAATCCAACAAATTCCATTAAATCAGCCTTCTTCCAGTTTTGGTAAAGTTCTAAAACAAGTTACCTGAAGGCTTAATTGGAGTATTCACAGATTGAGCTGGATCTCAACTAACTAATTTGTTTCTATTCAAAATAAATCAGCAGAGGAGCAATATTCAGAAACTTTATTGAAGTTAACTTTGAAGAAAATCTTTTCACTCCAGCAATTTTCTTGGATTTTAAAAGTGCCATTGACAATGAGAACTGGCTTTGGACAAGTAAAGGAACATAAGTATCTAGGTATCTCCTTTTATACAAAACTGAATTTCAGTTTATGCATTGACTATATCTTGGGTGAAGCCAAATTAATTAGCAATAAGCTATCAAGATGTCTACAAACAGCCATGCAACCAATGGTCTTGTTCTGTATCATCTTGGAATGAGTCTTTGACCAAAAACGTATATCACAAAATTTCTTGAGATTTAAATACAGGAGGATTTGCACAAGCTACACATCATCTACTGATGTTCTCTTAGTTGTAGCTAATTGATTCCATGATCAATATTTTCAAGTCATCTTAACATACTATCAGAAAAAGTTGTATTAACGAAAATAGTGCAGACTACTTCAATAGATCTACTTCCCTCAATGATATAATATCCAGTGCAACTAATTTAACATACTCCTGAAGGACAAGTATTTTCCTGGATAAAACCTCTACTGCAAATAGTGATAACTTCATCTGTACTGATGTCTGTAAACAGAAGAATCTCACTGGTTTACTTTTTATTCATTATCATTTTTTTTAATCTCTTCAAAATGTATATAACTTTCCTATTCATCTTTATAAATATTTTCTAAATGACCTTGAAACTGTTCAATATTAACTTTCTCTATTTTTACTAAAATTCTAATTATCAACTTTCAAGATACCTATTTTCAATTTTATAATCAAGTTCGAATTAAACAATATATAAGCTTTAGCATTTGCTCAGTTTCTCACTCTTTTGATATTATTTCCTCTATCAAGAACAGTTAAGCAACATGTCTGTTGAAGGTAAGTATTTTATTGTTAAAATTTAATATTTTTGTTGTTTTAATTTTAGGATTTTTTTTATTTGAATATAAAAAAGAACGTTAAGAGAAGAGGATACACACCAAAAAGTAACAAGAAAAATGAATTTAAAAAAATCAAACCACGAATTACATTCAACTTTAGATAAAAACTCATATATATATAGTTAAAATCAATGGTGATCAAATTATGAAGGGATGGAGTTTGAAAGTAATGTGCCTCTCTGACAAGATTGAAAGGAACCTATCCTTTGAATAAATACAGCATTAATGTAAAAGAATTTAAATATTTTAAAAAAGAGTATATCTCCCAATATGATCCATGAATGCATTGAATGCAATGGAAGAACATTTGGATGGACACATGAATATTTAATTTCACTTTACTGGATAATTTGTGTAAGATTTTTTTTACATTTATATTACAGAAAAAGCTTTTAAAAGTTATATTAAAACTTTGAGCTTTAATTACAGATTATATGTGATGAACACATGCTGTTTGTTAGCCAACATGGTTGCCTTTGTTCTTTTTGATTGTTAGATAATTTATTTGTATAGTGTATAAATATATTTGGAGATCATAACTGTTGTTTGACAAATTAAAGAAAGCGTAATTATGCCCTAAATGCCACCAATTTGTATCCGATCGGGTCGCACGAGTTCGCCGGTATATATGCCAGCCTATATACCGCAAGGAGTCAGACTTCCCAACGTATATACCGGCGGACTCATGCGACCCGATCGGATACAAAGAGTAATTATTTTTTATAAAACCAATAAGGTCAATATTATAAACAAAATAATGATGTGATAAGTCCTTTGTGGTTCCAAAACTTAGCACTCGTTCAATTATTGAATAGCAAGATTTTTTCTTCTATTCATGCAGAGTATATCTCTCAATATGATCCATGAAAAATTAAGAAATATGTTTGATATAATTTTAGAGTTTATTGATCAGTATATAAAATAGAAATCTGGATGATTAATTATGGTATAATTTTAGAGATTATATTTTAGATGTTTATTCAGGAATATATAAAAATGAAACTAGTGGTTGTGGTGGTATTATTATTCTAAAACATGTAATTAAGTTAATAAGCATTGTTTATTAAAAATACTATTTACAAACTATAGTAAACTAAAAAAATTATCTTCATATCTTGTTCTTGTCGACAGCTCGAACACAACAGGAATTTTTTTAACATTTTTGCGTATTCAAGCAATAAACGTTGGCTCCCATAAAGACTGCTTCTTTTTTTAGTTTCTTTTAGTTTGTGAATATGCTTTAATATTTATTACTGTTCCAGCTGTTCCATTTATTACTATATTTTTATTGTGATAAATATTGTTTCCTATTTTGTGTGTTCATCTCAACACTAAGAACAAAAGTTTAATTTATTGTCTTAAAAGTATTTTAATATATATTCTTTAAACTTTCCTGTTAATGTTTAAAAATTAACTGTTTAATAATTGATGTATTCGGATATGTAAAATTGTTACTCATTTGCATAAGTAAATATAAGTTTTGAAATGAAATTACTTTATTACTATGTAAATTATATTATTTCTTAATTAGAAATTTTGACTAATTGTTAGAAAAATCTGTAAAAAATAGTTTTTTAAAGTCAAAATATATTGAGAGAATATCTAAAATCATTCAATCATGTACAGTACTCCAAGTAGTGGAGAAGCAATTGCCGAATTTCATTTTAATTAAAATTCATTATTTTATCTATTAGAATAATAGATCATGGCTGTTAATAGATAACCCTTTATATCCAGAAACTGATGATGAAAATTAGTCGAATAATTATATTTTCATAGATGCAAATAATCTTTATGGATTTGTAATGACTTCTTATAATTTATAAACTATTGTGAGAATAGATCAACATTGTAGATATTTATATCATAGGACTTTTCAAATTATAAATCATAACCTTATAATTTTTAAAACAAAAAAAAACTAACTAATATTTAGATAAATTTATTTATATTTGCATTTGTGTATTAGAATTAAGCAAATTACATACGTATAAAATATATTTTAGAAAATATTTAAAAATAAGTATAATAAGAATGTACATTTATTATAAACAAGCACAGATTCATTAACACTTGTAATTTACACAAATTGTTTGAAGATTGTAAATCATTTCCTAATATCTCTGATTTTAGCAACTATTCATTGTATATGAAAATGCTTTGTAACTATAATTCTTATACTCATTGCAAAAAATAAACTATAAAAATTTTTACTTTACATTGAATTAGTGTTTATGTATATAATGGCATATACATTATTACTTTGCAACATTTATAGCATCTGATATATAAAGTTTTGTTTTTTTATTTTTAGATTGTTTCTGGAACACACTCCATTTTCTTCTTTAGATGACATAGATACTGGAAGAAATGCTTTCCTCAACTGATGTTTATTTGGTGTATTTGAAGATATCACTGGTTCTGTATAGTTATATTTAATTTTAATTCATGCTAAGATGATCAACATTTCATTACAAATGCTATACAGATCAGTTGCAAGTCATCAGCTGAAATTATGTTTTTGGCTTCATCAGATATTTCACAACTTTTTAATCTTAAAAATAGAAGAAATAGACAATTTTCTGTAATTTAATGACAAATTATGTTAATAATAAAATGTAAATGAATCTGTCAGATGCAATTTTTTTTCTGTGTATAAATAGATATTTTGTTGAAAAAAATACGGAAATTTAAAATGTATAATTTTACGTGTTACATCGTGCCACTTTCTATTTTTTAAATTGACAATTCTGTTACATAGAAGTCATCCTTGAAGTATTGAATAGTTACAATAAAAATATACTATATAAAGTATATTTTTATTGTAACTATTCAGTTGAGATGAGTGAACACTTAGGAAGAAATCAAAGGAATTGAAAGTGTTAGTGTTTTCTTCATGTGAATTTCTTTCATACTTAAAAACTTTTCTAAAATTTATGACAGAATCCTGTTCTTTAACATCTTTTATACAGGTTTAAAATTCACTGGTATTTTCTTCTTGAATTAATTAACCTGCGTGTACTCGTTTCTAAAGATGTCTATGACTGTGGTGTGTTTTCAAGTCTTTACTTTAAACTTCAGATACCAAAACATTTGCTTGTTTCTGTTTCATTGTTTTGAACTATAACTGCCTATAGGAAGAGAACTGTAGAAGAGAGAAGAGAGACATTTTTGTTTCCATTCTATCAATGTATGAACTGGATCCTCTACTGAAACATCTGGAAACAGAAGAGGGATAAACAGATTAAGCTCTCTTCTAACAGTTTCAATTGTTGTAAGACGAGGATGAAAAAAATTTCATAAAATGTTTGAGCACATTTCATTTCAATGAATTTCTTATATCTTGCAAAATGCTGTTTCCATTTTTATTGTTACACAGTATATATTTGTGTGTAGGACAAGATGAATAAAAGTGTATGGAATTCTCATCCACAGAAACAGGTTAGTCTTTTCAACATCTCTTTGACTGTCTTTTTGATTTCAATAATCTGCATGTTCAATTGTTTAAATTTAACATAATCATTTATAGTGTTGATTGAAGAGGAAAACTTATTGATGAATATATTGGGAAGAAAGAAGTAGGAAGAGGACTTCTGAAGAAGCAGAAGACAAGATTTTTTCAGTTATATTTCATTTTATATAAAATGAAATATGTTATTGATGTAAGAAGTGTTGAGTCCTTGATCTCTTGTCATTGATTCAAATTTCTTAAATTAGTCTACAGAAAATGTAAGTAAATTTTCTTTCTGCTTATCTGAATATATTTTTCAAGAAATATTTGAGTTTCATAACAGAATTAAAAATTATATAAAGTTTAAAATGTGAAAATGGAAGGGAATTATCTTTATAATATACACTGATTTTAAAAATTGTAGTTAAAACAAGTTTCAATACCATTGTATCAAGTTTGTTAATATGTATAAAGTTGAAATTTTATGGTGTTAGATGTATAAGAAAAGAATTTCTACAATTATTATTTTTAGTTTTTGAAATTAATTTTCTAGAAAATAATATTTTACATCATTGTCAATGTCATGTTTTATACAGAACTTTTTGTCATTGCAGATTCATAATCCACCAATAAAGAGCATTTGTGTTTAATAAATGAAAAATTGTTTCAGGAAAAGTCAAGAATTAAAGGATGTGTTTAACTTCTTTTGTTTACAGAAGACTGAAATTTTCTTATATCATAAGAAATGACATAAGAAAGTTTGAAAGAAGAAAATATATTTCATGCAAATGAAGAGAAAAACAAAATTAAATGAAGATATTTTAAAAATCATGCTTAATTTAAATTGTTTAAGAAAAATATTGTGATAGAATTTATGAATGTTGGTTTATTTCTGAACACTTTGGTAAGCACTTATTGTATATGATGCGGTGAAATTATTCGAGACGGTTGTAGCTTTTAAAGTTTAGTTAAAGGAAAGTTATTAGAAAAATGCATATAATTTTCTATCTGCCCACAAGTTTAACATTAATTTAAAAATAGTTTGGTTAAATTTAGATATTTATATATTTGACTGATGATAAATTAAAGAGAGTTTTGGTCTCTGAAATTTCATCATAGTTACTGCTCATTGCAATTCCACAAACAACATACTTTATAGTTTACAGAAATTAAATGTATCTTGTTAAATTTAGATATTNATTTGACTGATGATAAATTAAAGAGAGTTTTGGTCTCTTTAATTTAAAAGTATCAAAAGCAATATCTAACATAGGTTTTGATATTTTTATTTCTCATATTTTGCAGGTTCCACAAATGAAAAGAACAGGAAATATCAATGTGACACTTGCCAGAAAGAATTTACATCAAAATATTACTTAAAACATCATCAGAAGTATCACACTGGAGAAGGTCTCTTGTGTTGCGAATTCTGTGATCGTCGATTCAACACTTCTGGCAATCTAATCAATCATGTCAAGATGCATACTGGAGAGCGGTCCTTTATCTGTCAATATTGCAAACAATGTTTTGCAAGAAAAGATAGTCTGATAAAACATCTTCGAACTCATACAGGGCTGAAACCTTACACTTGTGAGCATTGCGGACGAAGTTTTTCAGAAAGTGGATCTCTTAGAAATCATGTTCGTACTCACACAGGGGAGAAGCCTTACACTTGTGAGTATTGCAAACGAACTTTTAGACGAAAAACTACTCTAGTACAACATCTTCGTCTTCACACTGGAGAGAAGCCGTACTCTTGCAACTATTGTTCAAAAAAATTCCATTCTAAAGCTCCTTTAAATCATCATATTATTACACATCATGAAAATTAGTTCGTTGAATGATATCATTTATGAAGCAGAATGTGAATAACAAACAGGGATCCAAATAATTAAATCATTGTGTTGATTTCAAAAAATATTTGATATTCGTATTTAGTGTTTATTCAACATAAATAATGAATTTTTGTAGTTTTAATTTTCTTGATTTTTCAATTTTTACATTTTATATAAACATTTGATTTTATGGATGTAAACTGGAAATGTTTTGTCAGATTATTTTTGAATAAATGGTAGGTTAATGGTTTTATTTGTAATTTTTATTTAGGACAATTTTTCCACCCTTTAAACAGGGAACAAAGTAATAAAACAAACTTCAAAATAAAATTCAGATAATTAAGTCTACAATACATAATAATGTTTAATATATAATACTCAATATAAAATGATTATTGGTGCATATACTTTCCATTTCAGATTGATTTGTAAGATCGGATCAGTCTTTGTCACGTGATACATATTGTTTGTCATTTGTTTTAGTTGGTGGAAAGGGTACAAGTAGGATCGTATTTACTCCATGAATGAAATTGATCACATAATGACAAAATGGGAGAGTGCACGCCATGCTTTCTTGCTGTACAATCTTGAAAATTGTCTCTTAATACTTATTTTTTCATCTCAGTTTATCAGATATTTTAATAATAATGTTTCTACTTACCATTTATAAGTTTTAAATACTTTTCATTTCAACAGTTAACATGGAGACACCATCTTTAATCTTTTTTATCTGATGCAAATGATCCTACCCTCCACTCAAATTGGTTTGATCGCGAGTCATTTGATCCTGTATGGTGTTTGTATACATGGATAGAGATTGATCAGATCACTACAGTTTGTACACACAATTTGAATAATCTTTGATCAGTTTGATAACAAAAGTATATGCACCCTTGACAAACAAAATCCAGTAACTAAGCTGTGATGACCTAGTGACATAATAATAAAGATACATGCTATTTTACTTTACACAAACCAAAACAACAATAAAAAAATAATAATAATAAAATTTACACCTACCTGGTAAAGTAAAAAAATTAAGTATTATGTAAAAAAGGTTAGCAACAGATCACAGCTGGTCAACACTAGATATCCTCCCACCTAGGTGTGTGCCGGAAAGTGTGAACTTGACATTACTAGTAGTAGTAATTCTTATGTATTTGTTAAAATATGTGGTCAAGATCTTCATGCAGATGTCATTTAGTTTTAGTTTCAGATAATTACTTTGTTGACATTATTACTTTTTAGTCTTGTTAGATGGATGTTTTCCTAGATGTTGAGAAATAGGGAACATTCATCCAAGTTGATGTATTATGGCCAGCTGGGGTAAGTGAGCCAACTGTTTTGTATTGTTATGTGATTCTGTTGGCATTCCATGTTATACTGTTCAGGGTTTGTCATGTTTTTTCTTTTTTTTTTTTTTAGTTGATGGTCATTTTATTGTCTTTCGGCTCTTGATGATGATTGCATTCATGGCATTTGGCTAGATTTTTGTCTATTTGGATAGAATGCTTTGGTGCTTGTCTATTGTTGCTCCACTTGGGTTTATAATGCTTATATCTTCTGTTGTCTCTCAGCAGGGATGGGTTTTGGTGTGTCTCCATCCATTTATCCACTTTCTGTTGCCTTGGGTAAGGATGACAATTGGCTTTTTGTTTATCTAAGGGGTTTGGACCTTGCTATAATATTTGTAGGTGCGCTATCATACATTGTATGATTTGATTTTTGTACTTTTATGGCGCATTTGATTTCTAGGAATTGTAGAGACAGCAGCATTATTTTGGATCACTGGAAGGTTCTAGTTACGTTTGGTTTGTGGCTCAAATGGTTTTAGATTGTTTTAATTTGTTGCTATAGGCATGATGTTTTGATGTGGCAATCTTCACTGCTTTACATGCTTCTGTGTTTGAACAGTTATGCCATCTTTAGTATAGTATTACATGTAGGGCTGTTATGTATGCTGTATGCCAGGCACTTGGGAGATGTGCTTGGGTGGTCTGTAGAGTGGTTTATTCATATTTGTTTTTTTTTTTATCTGGTTTAAGTTTTCATTGTGTTATTGTCCCTGTTGATTGCACTATTTAACCCTCTTATAGTGTGGCTTGATGTGCCTATATCTGTCACAGTTTAGGCATGGTCTAGATTGTTCATGGTATTATTTCATTCCATATGGTGATAAAAATATTCTGAGTCTCTCCAGGATATTAGTTACTACCATTGTTATTTTTATGATGTTGGACCTATATTTGAACCTAGTCACATTAAGTGAAGGTATCCTTGGTTATATATTTTCCGTACTTTATATTCTATAATAATGACTCACTTGATCCCTTGGTTAGAATTATTTTGACAGCCATGGCCATTTGTGTTTCATGGACAGTATCTCAGTAAGACATGATTGTTAAACTGTTATGCAGATTTTCCAGCCCACATTTTCTGGTGCAGATTGGTTATAGTGTTGAAATGTTTTGTAAAGCTTTGGTCCTGTAAGGTGAGTCTTTGGTTGCTGTCCATATTTTGCATTTGGGATTATTTAACTGGATGGACTACATTGTATGTGTATCTATTATAGTTCTTCAGTGTGTTATTTGTTACTCCACATCCAATAGTCTTTCAGATAGTCATCTTCATTGTTATCGATGATAGGGCTTACGTCCACAACCTTGGATGGAAGCCAGTTAATGGGAGGATTAGAGAATTTAAGGTTTTATGCCATATGGCTGTATGCCAGGTCATTATCCAGTGGACCCTTCAGAGTTTTTTCCATGAAGTATCATTGATGTGTGTGTACATTTGTGACAGTATAATTTCTTTGGTTTGACAGAGTCTTGTTTAACCTCCTGCTGAAATAAAATTCAAGATTTATAAAAATTAGAAATAAACAAAATACATTTAACATATTAATGAAAAAATAAGAAATTATATTTGAAAAATTACTCCAACAATCTGGATTTACCAAAACATGAAGTTTGGAAACTTCAACAAACCACTGTGTGAAAAGAAATTTTCAACTTAATTCATCACAAACAGGAACATTGAAGACCACTAAACTTCTTCAGAGAAAAAAATGAATCATCTTTAGGTTTAATTTTCTTTAAAAAATTTGAGAAAGTACAGGATTAGATATTTTTGGCATGATTAGTTTAAATGATAATTTTATCAACTAGTAAAAAATAATTAAAATTATCATTTCGACTAAACTCCCAATAAAAGAAGTCAGAAACGCCCAACAAAATCTCACAAATTAAAATCACCCTATTCTGTTGAAGAATATAAAAACAACCATAATAATGATGTAATGAAAAAAAATTATATTTCGGAACTTAGTTTTAATATAAAATTATAACGACTAGTGCCTTCTACTTTGAAAAAAAGGTTCCTATGCTGAAACGATATATATCAAGTCAACCAGTCAAGGTCAGCACGTCGCCTCCAGAGATATATCTGGAATATCGCGGGACAGGTAAATGGATTTTTTTTTCAAAATTCGATTTTGTACTACTACCTGTTTGTAGAGAGTGTCGCCATTTTGAGTCTGTCCTCTGAGTTCTCAAGTTTTTTTATGCGGGCATGATTTGGCCACCTAATACTCTGTGCCAAATTGCAACTCCTGACATGTACTCCATACCTCTAAGCTGGTCTCCCAACAAGCAATACGATTTTATAAACAAGACGTAGTCTTGTCAATAATTAATGAACATTGTTTATTAAGTGTGAAGATAATTATTGTTTTTTAAATTGTATTATTGCGCATATCTATCTATTCATTCAATAAATATTTTTAAAAATTCTTAACAATTTATTGCAAATGTTAAAAAATATTCCATCTGAAAAAAGAGTTCAACGATTCATACATTTGGATATAAAAAAGTCATTTAATTTGTCAGTAAATTTAAATTCAAAAAAGTTAATCTGTTGTATAAATCGCATTATTTTTAGAAATTTTAATCGTGTCGGAAAATTCCATAAAAGATGGCTTTCAAAGAGGACAGACATACTTTGAAAGAAGACGTAAAACCTAATCATAACTGAAAAAGTTAGTACGTAATCCTTTTTGCCATCCAACACAGAAGTAACAGTAAATTGGCTTGAAATTCTTTATAAAACGACATAAATAGATTATTAATAGAGAGGTTTCGGCCGACGTTTTCAACGTGAAAACGTGTACGTCGAACGTTCAGCGCCGCCGCCTTGTAAGCCAAGAAGTTTGACAATGGCGTTTGGAACGTCAGTGGAACATGGTCGACGTTCTAAACGCCATTGTCAAACTTCTAGGCTTACAAGATGGCGGCACTGAACGTTCGACCTACACGTTTCTGTGTTGAAAACGTCGGCCGCAACCTTTCTATTGAAAAATTAACACAAAATTGATCAAACACCGAACTTTTTATATACCAATTTTTATTGTGGTAGTAATGATAATCATTTTTTATTTGATATTAAAAAAAAATACTTCATAAAATTAATGTGACTATATGTAAATGCATTATTATTAGCTGATATATTTCAAAATTTTATAAAAATTAAGTTTAAAATAGTATATTTTATAATNAAAAATACCTCCAACAATCTGGATTTACCAAAACATGAAGTTTGGAAACTTCAACAAACCACTGTGTGAAAAGAAATTTTCAACTTAATTCATCACAAACAGGAACATTGAAGACCACTAAACTTCTTCAGAGAAAAAAATGAATCATCTTTAGGTTTAATTTTCTTTAAAAAATTTGAGAAAGTACAGGATTAGATATTTTTGGCATGATTAGTTTAAATGATAATTTTATCAACTAGTAAAAAATAATTAAAATTATCATTTCGACTAAACTCCCAATAAAAGAAGTCAGAAACGCCCAACAAAATCTCACAAATTAAAATCACCCTATTCTGTTGAAGAATATAAAAACAACCATAATAATGATGTAATGAAAAAAAATTATATTTCGGAACTTAGTTTTAATATAAAATTATAACTACTAGTGCCTTCTACTTTGAAAAAAAGGTTCCTATGCTGAAACGATATATATCGGGTCAACCAGTCAAGGTCAGCACGTCGCCTCCAGAGATATATCTGGAATATCGCGGGACAGGTAAATGGATTTTTTTTTCAAAATTCGATTTTGTACTACTACCTGTTTGTAGAGAGTGTCGCCATTTTGAGTCTGTCCTCTGAGTTCTCAAGTTTTTTTATGCGGGCATGATTTGGCCACCTAATACTCTGTGCCAAATTGCAACTCCTGACATGTACTCCATACCTCTAAGCTGGTCTCCCAACAGGCAATACGATTTTATAAACAAGACGTAGTCTTGTCAATAATTAATGAACATTGTTTATTAAGTGTGAAGATAATTATTGTTTTTAAATTGTATTATTGCGCATATCTATCTATTCATTCAATAAATATTTTAAAAAATTCTTAACAATTTATTGCAAATGTTAAAAATATTCCATCTGAAAAAATAAGAGTTTAACGGTTCATACATTTGGATATAAAAAAGTCATTTAAATTCAAAAAAGTTAATCTGTTGTATAAATCGCATTATTTTTAGAAATTTTAATCGTGTCGGAAAATTCCATAAAAGATGGCTTTCAAAGAGGACAGACATACTTTGAAAGAAGACGTAAAACCTAATCATAACTGAAAAAGTTAGTACGTAATCCTTTTCGCCATCCAACACAGAAGTAACAGTAAATTGGCTTGAAATTCTTTATAAAACGACATAAATAGATTATTAAGAGAGAGGTTGCGGCCGACGTTTTCAACGTGAAAACGTGTACGTCGAACGTACAGCGCTGCCGCCTTGTAAGCCATAAAGTTTGACAATGGCGTTTGTAACGTCAGTGGAACATGGTCAACGTTCTAAACGCCATTGTCAAACTTCTAGGCTTACAAGATGGCGGCACTGAACGTTCGACCTACACGTTTCTGTGTTGAAAACGTCGGCCGCAACCTTTCTATTGAAAAATTAACACAAAATTGATCAAACACCGAACTTTTTATATACCAATTTTTATTGTGGTGGTAATGATAATCATTTTTTATTTGATATTAAAAAAAAATACTTCATAAAATTAATGTGACTATATGTAAATGCATTATTATTAGCTGATATATTTCAAAATTTTATAAAAATTAAGTTTAAAATAGTATATTTTATAATCATTCCCCATTTAACACAATTTAATTTAAAATAGATATATAGTAATATATTCATTATAAATAAAAACTAATTTAATGTAAATTATTTTTATTTAAAAAAAAAATAATAATAGAAAATTGGGTTTGAAAGGGCAGGTGGCGCTGTCTACATAATCTTCGACTGCACTGTGTGTAACATTATGACACAAACCAATGTTGTATGTAGATCAATTTGTAATGTTTGGTAATTTTTAGTAGACTTTAATGGCTTAAATGATCCAAGAAGCTAATTTAAGTAACTTTTTTTCTACATTAAAGTGTTTGACGACTGGCACTACGTAAATTATACGTGATGGTGTGTATTGAAAGTAGGTTTATCACACTGTCACGAGGTGGACCTCATAAGATGTGTCCATGCAAGAGAAGGATTTTTGTAAGTGAATGCTCAAAAACGAGATGTAAATGGCATCAAAGAGATGATAACACTGATAATAAACGAGCGTTCATTAAATCAAAGTGAGAATAACAAACTTAACCTGTTACTATGTGAATTAAAGGAAGATTATGTTACTCTGCTACAGAAAAACACAGCATTACAGGAAATAATACAATTACAAAGGGAAGGTCTAAGTCACATAGGCTGAAAACATGTACAGAAAGCCTGAAACAATGTGAAAGTGTTCCATCAAAGTTTTCTTTTTCCATCAAATCAATCTATTTAAAACCAAATAAGGAAGTCCAAAACAAAAAAAAATTTATAATGAAACCATATCCACAGTAATGAAAGTTTTATAAAGTAAAGATGCATCTGACCAATTGAAAGCTATGTTCGTAAATAACAGAAACATAAAATTAGCAGTGATGAATGAATGGTTCCAATATGTGAACAAAATAGCTAATTTCTAAATCTGAAACTATTAATTAATCAATCTTGCACAACATTTCACTTTAGAAAATGTCAAACTTTTATGATGTTGGTAAAGTGTTCTCAGTTTGAGGTATTTAACTATGTTTTGGTGCAAAATAATAGAAGAAAATTTACTGTTAGGTCAAGCAGATAAACCTTATTTTTATTTATAAACAACAACTTTGAAAACAGTTGGATTGCTTGTGTCAGTTCAGACATCAGATACTGTATGATAAAAAATATCTACAGTCCTAAAATCAAACAAGATTTAAAGATTATTTGTAACAATATTTGGTATCAGATTTCCTATCAATAATCCAATGCTATAACTAGAAAATTTGGTCATTTTGCCAAAAACCTATTTTAGCAAATCTGCCTGCATTAACTGTGCAGATGAACACATTGCTATAAACACTACGTAAGGAAAAATGATCACACAGTTATAACATGCATGTAATTTTTATCCAACAAAAATGCACTAATTGTCTTGAATCAAAAAGATAAAAAAAAGAGACAACATATAAATAAATTACAAAATAAAAGATTTAAACTACTCCATGTATTCGAGTGTATATTTTCCATTCATCATTAAAGTTGAACTGCATGAATCTATATAGTCTGTAGATCTGAAGGAAGCTCAGGTATAGACAGACAAAGCATTATTTTCCTACAAAGAAACTATGAACTACTAGAAATTCTAAAGATATATAACTCGTTGAAAGTGCTCTTATTTTCTTGAATACTGGAAATTGACCAAAGTCATTCTACTTAAGAAAGGAGGAAGCTAATCCAACAAATTATGTTGAATTAGCCTTCTTGCAGTTTTGGATGAAGTTCTAGAAAAAGTTATCTTAAACAGACTTCATTGGATTATTCACAGATTGGGGTGGATCTCAACTAACCAATTTGGTTTTAGTGAAAATAAATCAGTAAAAGATAGTCTTCTGCTTCACAAACTTTATTGAAATCAGCTTCAAACAAAATCTCTTCATAGCAGCCATTTTCGTGGATTTTAAAATTGCCATTAACAATGAACAAGTGCTTTTGGATAAGTGAAGGAACATAAGTATCTAGGTATCTGTCTTGAAACAAAACTGAATTTTAATCCACATATTGAATATATCTTAAGTAAAGTCATATTAATTGGCAATCAGCTATCAAAATGTGCCATAAACAACTAGGGTTTAGACTAAGGCATGGAGATATATACTAAAAGGAGTCGTTCAACCAATATTCATATGTGCTGCCTCATCTCAGAGACTTGTCTTAAACAAAACAATGTATATATCAAAAATTTCTTCAGGTCTAAACATAGGAAAATTTACAAAATCTACACCATAGTATCCACTGCTTCTTAGTTGCAGCTAAGCTGACTCCATGGCCACTATTTTCAAAACAAGTCTTTTTAATATACCACAGTACTACTACTCAAATTGAAAATGTATAATTTTAATTTTAAAACATTTTTGGTCAATCTTCAGGACAGAAAGAAACAAATTTCAATTTAAAATCAAGAATGAAAGTTAGATTGTCCTCTGGAACAAGTTGATTTCAAATGTTAATGTTTGAGAGCAACACAAATTTAAATGCACGTGTTCCAAGACATTTCACATGCAATCCAATATATAGAAGTTTTCTTCTGTGTTTGATTTTTATGTACATTAAAATATAAACATATAAAAATAAAATAACACTAAAGGAAATAAAATACATAACTTGTAAACTTAACTGTATTGTTAACAAAAATGTATATAAGAACTAAATTAACACATAATACATGCACTATGTCAGACAAAAACTTATATGTATGCACAACTACATATCATAATATGTACAACAGTGTCTGTTACTCTCTGCAAGTTCTTTATCATCACAGTTTGTCATTTTGAACCCAAATCTACTAATGCCTTCCATGCAATTAATATCACATCACAGTCTTTATAATTGGTGGATTGCCCCCTCGAGAATGCTTTGTAGATTTGCCAAGTTTGTGTGTGTCTTATAAGGTTTTTATTCAGTACTTTAAGCTAATAAGATACACAGAAGCTTGGCAAATGTACAAAGTATTCTCGAGGGGGCAAGCTGCCAATTATAAAGACTGTGATGTGATATCAATTGCATGGAAGGCATTAATAGATTTGGGCTCAAGATGACAAACTGTGATGATAAATAATCTGCAGAGATATTGTGTGAATTATAATATGTAGTTGTGCATACATATAACTTTTTGTCTGGCATTGTGCATGTATTATGAGTTAATTTAGTTCTTATATACATTTTTGTCAGCAATACAGTTAAGTTTACAAGTTATGTATTTTATTTCCTTTAGTGTTATTTTATTTTTATTTTTATATGTTTATATTTTAATCTACGTAAAAATCTGACACATAGAAGTTTGACATGTGCATTTAAATTTTTCTCAAATGTTAACATTTGAAATCAACTTGTTCCAGAGCACAATCCAGCTTTCATTCTTGTTTTTAAGTTGAAATTTGTTTATTTCTGTACTGAAGGTCATTTAGGATGACCAAAAATGTTTGAAAATTAAAATTATACTTAATTTTAAAGATTTGAACAGCAGTACTGTGGTTTATGACAAGTGAAGTTTTCAGAAAAAATGTTCATCAGGAGAAGTTGTATTAACAAAATTAATACAGATTTGCTAAAAACTACCTCAATCATTTTTCTTCCCATTACCAATATATAATATCCACTATAATAAACCAACCGTATTTGTGGAATGGCCTAAATAAACCTGGATAAAACCTCTACTGCGCACACTGATATTTCCACTAATAGTTCACTGATAGCTCTGAAAAGAACCTTGTAGGTTTATTTTTTATTTGTTATTTTTTCACCTTGTTGAAAATTTATATAATATTTTCCTATTCATCTTTGTAAATATCTTCGTAAATATTTCGTAAATGACCGAAACTTTTGATTGAGACTGCCGAAAATTAACTTTATTTATACTAAAATATTAATTATCGACTTTGAAAATGACCTATTTTCGATTTTATAATCAAGTTCGAATTAAACAATATATAAGCTTTAACATTTTCTCAGTCTGTCGTTCTTTTGAAATTAATTCTTCTAAGAAGAACAATTAAGCAACATGTCTGCTGAAGGTAAGTATTTTATTATTAAAATTTAATATTTTTATTAAAATATATTAATGGTCATTAACTTAATTTTTGAACGTGATTTTGATTTCAATATAAATCAGAATGCTAGAAAATAGGACACAAACCAAAAAAAATAACAAGGAAAATTAATTTTCCTTGAACTTACTTCTAACAAACAATATTTGATTATCCATTTCCATGTGTTTATTTTTTATTTTAAATTATTTTATATTATTATCTAATGTAATTTTTAATTTTGTTTAAATAACATTGTGGAATGTATGAATTATTCCACTTTACAACTCAACAAAACTCCTTCCTCTTTGGAATGGCTTCTAACCCGAGGCAGCCCTGTAAATTGGACTGAAAATGCTTGTTGAAGTGTAAAGTGAATGCTGGAAATATATGAAAAGTGTGTTTGTATGATTTTAACCAAAAACATTCAGCTTTTTGAAGATACTGTAATTGTAACTGACAGTGATTATTCAAGAAATATTGGAGTATTAATACATAATTATAATAAAGATGATGATGCTATAAAAGCTGGAAGTGCAATTTCACAAATAACAATTGAAACAAACTGATATCCAATTTTTACAGAAAAATCTTTTCTGAATGATTCTCCACAAAATGATAAAGCATTTGGTAAATGAATTAAAACATTAGAAAATACTGCACTGAAGAAAAAATAATTAATGTATGTCTGAATTCACATTTTTATATGATCATGTATCATTATAACTATGAAAAACATCTTTTACAGTATTCATTGTAACATCAATAATTTTTATAAACGATATATTCAATTAATATTCACTGTACCTGAAAACACTTTGTATCTAGAATTATTATACTCATTGCAAAAAGTAAAATAAAATATCAAAAATTTTCTTTTGATATTGAAAAAGTTTTAAAGTATATTTTGGCATATACATTTTTGTTTTGCAGGGGCAGATCTACATAGGGACTAATAGGGCTTAAGCCCTGGACCCCCAAGTGTCAAGGGCCCACAAAAATTGAATTATCATCATAAATTTTTAATACTTTTTCATTAACAATGAGCACTTATTGTATAGTAAAAAACTAGTTAATATTAATAATATAATAGTTTAAAGTATTATTTGTTTTATTGTGATCAATGAATTTCTTAGTCTAACAAAAAAAAATGGGGCTCCATTGGAATTCAATAAGCACTAGGCCCCAAAAACCTAGATCCGCCCATTGCTTTGCATCATTTATCATATCTGATATGTCGTGTAAAGTTTTATTTATATTCTTAGATTGTTTCTGAACATTGTCTTCATTTTCTTCTTTACATGACTATATTTGACAGTTACAAATGGAAATATTTTTCTCAACTGCTAATTTTTGGTGCATTTGAAGACAACCACTTATCTGTGTAACTCTAGTTAATTCTAATTGATGGTCAGATGATCAACCTAGTTAATTCGTATTACTAAACAGATAAATTTCAATTCATTAACAGAAATTTTGTTTGGCTTCATCAAATATTTCACTACACTTTTCTGTTATTCAAAATCAAATTATGTTAATAATTATGTATAAATGTATTTTTATAAGAATAATAAACTTTATCAGCTGAATTATTGGCCATCATATTTTTATAAAATATATTTAATGTTAAATGTTTTATTCATGTATAAATAGATATTTTGTTTAAAAAAATATAGAAATTAAAAATTTCAAATTTTACCTGCTACATGGTGCCACTTATATTTTTTTAATTGGCAGTTCAGTTACATTGAAGCCAGCATTCAAGTACAGAAATGGTAAAGTATATTTTTATTCTAACTATTGAATGAATTGAGAGTTGTTTTCAGATAAGCGGAGACTTTTATGAAGAAATTGAAGTGTCATTTGGGTGTTTTCTTCATGTGAGTGGTGTTACTTTTTATGACGACGCCTTCATTCGGTTCATACTTCTTCATAACAGAAAAGATAACAGAAAACAACAATGAGTATGTTTAGTGTGAAATATCTTGCCCGCTGCTGATAACCTTTCTCTTCTGGTTAGAGAAAAGTTAACAGATATTCTACTTTTTCTCTGTCAGTTGTGCAATTTTTTGTTTATTTCAGCTCCAAGACTAATGATTAACAATAAAGATAATTATCTTCAATATGATTAGCATAAAATGTACAGATGATAAACTACATCATCTGTATATTTATGTTAATCATATCCAAATAGGTATTTTCTGAACATCTTTGCATATTTAAAACAATTAGATACAAAAACACACATTACTGACTTCCAGCAGTGGGTTTAATACAATGAAAATGTTTTCAACCCATTCATAGGTCTTCCTCAGAATCTATAGAGAAATGGAACAAAGTAACAAATCAAATACAAAACTAGCATTTTAAAATTAAAAGAGAACAACTGAGGAAAGACTTATGAATATGTTGAAAACATTTTTATCATATTAAACCTGCTGCTGGAAGACAGTAGTAACGTGTGTTCTTGTATCTCATTGTCTCACATTTGCCTCAGCTCTCTTGTTCTTGAATTAATTAACTCACACATACTCTCATTTCTAAACACTTTTATGACTCGGGTTCACTTTCAATTTTTTATTATCAACTGTGGGTAGTGAAAACATATGCACAGTTGTCTTTCATTGTCTTGAACTATGGAGGCTTACAAGAAGAGAATAATGAAAATGAGAAGTGGGTGAACAGATTATGCTCTCTTCAAACAATTTTAATTGTTACAAGACATGAACAAAATGGGAGGATGAAAAAATTTGGTAAAATGTTGGAGTACACTTCCTATTGATGAATTTCTTCTACCTTGCAAAATGCCATTTTTGTTTCTGTTGTTGCACTTTCCTGTGTTGGAAAAAATAGAAGAATTATGGAATTTTCTCATCCACAGAAATAGGTTAGTCTTTTCGCCATCTCTGCCTGTTCTTCTGGTTTTGATAATCAATATATAATCAATATATAATTTGGATGTTCAAATTTTTAACTGTAACATAATGATTTATAGTGTTGATTGAAGAAGAAAATCTTGTTGATTATATTGGGAAGAAAAAAGTAGGAGGATGATTTTTTTAGAAGAAGTAGACGAGATTTCTCAGATAACATTCATTCTATATAAAAAGAAATGTTATGTAATTGAAGTATTTTAAGTCCTTGAGGTTTCTTCGTTGATTCAAGTTTCTTAAAAGAATCTAAAAGAAAATGTAAGTAGATTTTTACATCTTTCCCAAAGGTATTTTTAAATTCACATTTGAGTTTATGTAATTTTTAATGAAAGCTGCAATTAAAGCTTAAAATATGAAAATGGAAAGAAAGTATCTTCATTATATAATACCATAATGCTTGATCTACTTGATTTTAAAAATTGTAGATAAAATTATATAGAATATTATTTTATCATTAATGCCTGAAATTTCATATAACTATGTCTGCAGGTGTATAGGAACTCCTTCAGTAAAGCAGTGCATATTTATTTTGACTGATTACATACATAAACAAAAATAGATATAATTAAATGCTATGTTTTGGATCATTGAATTATCAATAGCGTTCCCATACATTTGCAACACAGGATTATGGAATTTTTGAGTATTATTTAATGTATAGTCAGTGATCCCAACAACAAAGGAATTATTTTATAAATTTAGTTAATATATATAAATATGTATGAAGCTGAAAATTTTTGGTGTAAAATGTAGAAGAAAGAACTTGTAGAAGTGTTAGTTTTTAGTTTTGAATTTAATTTAAGTTAGGAAATAATGTTTGATGTCTTTCTTGAATTATATTTCATACAGAATGTTTTGTTATTTGCAGATTAAGTATCCACCAATTAATAGCATTTCTGTATAACAGTTGAAGAAATGTTTCCAGGAAAATACAAGACTTGTAGAATGTATTTAACTTCTTTTGTTTACAGAAGACTAAGACCAAAGCCAGATGTAAGAAATAATATAAGGAAATATGAAAGAAGAAAACATATTTTATGCCTATGAAGAAAAACAGACAACTAAATGAAGAGATTTTTAAATATTTTTTGAAAAACATGCTTTACATAAATTATTTTAAGGAAAAAAATATAAATTTCATTAATTTGTGATAGTATTTATGCATGTTTGTAATATTTGTGAACACATTGGTAAGTAGTTATTGTATACAGTGCATTGAAATCATGCAAAAGGAGCTTGTAAACTTTAAATTTTAATTGAAGAAAAATTATGAGAAAATTGCAAATAATTTTCTATTTTCACACAAACGTTTAATAATACTTTAATGTGCTTAAATCTAGATATATGTTTGATTGACAATAGAGTTTCGATCTTTAGACATTAGTTGGATATTGCTATTTATCATATTTTACAGGTTTCACCAATCGTAAGAGAAAGGGAGGGAAATATCAATGTGAAACTTGCAACAAACAATTTATTTCGAAGTATGGATTTAAATATCACCAAAGAATTCACACTGGAGAAGGGCTGTTGAATTGTGAATTCTGTAATCGTCAGTTCAACCATACCAGCAGCTTACGTAACCACGTCAAGACTCACACTGGAGAGAAATCCTTCACCTGTGATCGGTGCATGCAAAGTTTTACACGTAAAGAATATCTGATAAAACATCTTCGAACTCATACAGGGGAAAAACCTTATACTTGTGACCATTGCAGTCGAAGTTTTTCAGAAAAAGGAACTCTGAGAAAACATATTCGAACTCACACAGGGGAGAAGCCATTTACTTGTGACTATTGCAAACAAAATTTTACCCGAAAATATACTCTGGTAGAACATCTTCGACTTCACACCGGAGAGAAGCCATACTCGTGTGATTATTGCTTTAAAAGATTCTGTTTTAAATCTAATTTAACTCATCATATTATTAAACATCATGATGATGAGAATGTTGAATAAAGATAGCAAAATGTGAAGTGACAAAAATGGATCAAAATATTAAGTCATTTCTTTGGGGAAAACATATTTGATGTTCGTATTTAGATTCTATTGAATATAAAAACAGTAAATGTTTAAAGTTTTAATTTTCTTGATTTGCAATTTTTACATTTTACATAAAGTGTTGCTTCAATGGACGTAAATTGGAAATATTTTGTAGAATTTTTTTTAAATAAATGGTAGTTTAATTAAAATGCTAAAAATATGTAATATCAGTGCTTGTGTGATTTACTTTCAAAGAGTACTACACCTATGTCCTCCCAACAATTTTGATGAATTTTTGCACAAAGGTAGTGTTTGATATGATGATACAATTAGGGTTGCCACCTTTTTAAAATCGCTGACCCGGACGGCAGGTGAGGTTTGTTTGAACAGAGGTTCCTGACGCATGCGTATATCATTTTGCAATGCGAAGAATAATTTGCAGTGCATGCTGATTCTAAATCAGTTACAGTTAGCGACTAGGGAGACTTGGATTGGAGTAACGCAAGTGACCTAGCTGTATTGGATATTGGAGGTGTATATGATTACGAATGAACAGTACAAGCAAAAAAAAGGTCGGCAGGTTGCGCGTCATATCCCCGGACAGCGAGTCGGATGGTAACACTATTCTGTGCTCATTTCAATCGGACTCCCCTGTCTTTAAGCCAATGTCTACCACACTAGTAATTCGGTACACAGGGGAAGAAATATATGCGACGGTTTGCATATAATTTTGTACATATTCATTTCAACTTGCGCAATCCGGAGAAATATTAATTAACCCGGGAGCCCGGAGATAACTCATTCAATCCCAGAATCTCCGTGTCAAACCCCGACAGGTGGCAACCTTAGATACAATCAACCAAATTGTTTCATTATGAGAGAGAGTTATCGAGATTTAAAAATTAAAATCCATCCATTCATCTCTGCCATTGGCTAACTTGTAGAGGCTCCATTCCACTACAAACAACTTTTTTGGCATTGTGTTTTTGTTTTGAATGATGAACTTTTACAAATGTAGGAATTGATAAGGTTTCCTGCTGAAGATCTTAAGAGCAGACAAGGTTTTCGGTTTCAGGAAATAAGGAAATTGGGCATGAGAGGACATTTTTAGAAAGTGGAGTGGAGGTTCCACTTCTCACAGTTTAGGAACACAAAGAAAAGAACACAAGAGAAAATTTTTGTTCTTAAAGTTAAGTCTGTGGAAACACATCTGATCTAACATGGCCACATGCAGAACCAACCTATTAATCCTTTTGGAGTTTTACAAGAATTGTCTGCAGTTATGAAGATGCATTATGGTTCATTGTATGAAATGGTAAACATTACATAGGCGACAGATAATCCTTCCATGTTTATGATGCATAACACTTCACTATTTTATTAGAGGTAGAATCAGCTTCCGAAATGTGAAATAACTGATTTGTAAAAGATGGTCGACCATCTGTTTGCAAACCAGTTACTGTATTTGAGATTTTTGAAACTGGTGGACGATATTTCCAGTTTGAGATCTGTTTCGGATGTAAAAGTGAAGTTGAGGCCGAAGTTTTAAACGCAAAAACATGTACATCAGACGTTCAACGTTGCTTTCCTGTAAGCCTAGAAGTTTGACAATGGTGTTTCGAATGTCCAGCATGACTATACAAATGTGAGGACCCGAACAGGGGTCGACTGAGAGGTCCGAATTATGGGTTCGATCGAAAATAAAGAGCTCCTTTTCAGACGATAAGGAAACGGATTAGGTGTCTCGATTGAACAATGCAATTGGTTTTTTTCGGAAAATTAGTTAAACAATGGAAACGGAGAAATTCGAGGAAAACGCGACGAGAGAGAGGATCATATTCAGTCGCTATGTTAACCTCTCCCGCGCCCTCCATTAGGTTTCGAGTTGTCACCAGGTGACAATGAGAGACCAATGGAGAGGCGACTGCTGTAAAAAAATCTATAAATTTGTGCGACTCAAGAGACGAAGGTTCTTGGTTCCTAGTTTTTGGTTCTTGGTGTTTGGATACGTAGTGTGTCGTCTCATGGACGGTCGTGCTCCAGATCTTAGAAAAAAAAGGACATTTTGGAACATCGTGGAAACATCGTTCTCTGGGTGCTCCTAGCAATCGACAGATTCGTCGGATCGTCCGCGAGAAGCCGCCGAAAGCCGTAATCAACGCCCCGGGCCCACCGAGTGTTTCACCGACAGCGTCCATCCTCTAGCGACGAAAACCGACTTTTACGAACTTTATTTCGAACTTTATCCGTGCGCTTTGGGGTGCTACCTCATCTAACAAGTAATTTGTAAGGAAAATTTCTATGTTTAATAAACGGTTATATGGTAAACCTGTCTCAGGAAGTCAGTCTGCGCCCACACGAACAGAAGAACCGCTCGGCTGTCGAACACCTCACCCCTAATCGGCTGACCTCACACAAACACCATTAGTCAAACTTCTAGGCCTCACCTCTTGACGGGTAACTGGTTGTGGAACCGGGGCAAATAAACCAGTGACTTATTTTTAAACAGACAGAATCCGCAAAGGAACAGAGTGCGATACAATTTAATTGTCGCAGTCTCGGCATAATTGACTCATCTCCTGTCGTAGATCGTAGAAAGGAGCAAGAAGTCAACTGCCTGGAAGAGTTCGATGGTCATCTTACAGAGTTTAAAGCGCCTATTTGCTGGCGACTGATTGGACCTAGCTGCGTCTTTTCCAAGTCGGAAAAACACATTAGATCAAAATTTACGGGACTGTCGCTCGGGGGAGGGCATTACCCGACTCAGTAGAAGTTGCCCGGGAGGCGGTGTTTGGCGACTCCGCGGCCCGAATCGCGCCCTTGGCAACAAACCAGGGACCAATAGAGTTACAGGGAACCATCGTTTGTATTTCGGGTAAAATCATGTAAGAGCCCGAAATCCCAAGGACACAGGGAGATTGGGAGTCGAATAGCCAGTCTTCTTACGCGAGTCTCTTTTTCCATCCAGGAACCGCAACCCCCATACGTGAAAAGACTTCTCGCTTCATTCTGACCGATTGCGTGAAAAGCGAGGGTCACTAAGGCTGTGTACACGTTAGGCGTTTTTAAACGCGCGTTTTAAAGAACCAAGAGTTCTGCATGGGTATACATACTCAAACGCGCGTTGATAGATTTACCTATCTACCAAATAATATATAATTGAAACCCTGTAAAAAAATATGAAGATTTGAAAACCTACAAACTACTTAAAGACTATCAAAAGCTTGAATTATGTTTAATTTTGTATGTTAATTGTTTTTTCTGTATGTCTGTTATGGTCTATTTGTATTTCTTTTTACACTGGAAAAAAGATAATTGCTTACATCATAAATAAAGTAAATAATTAACTTGAAATAGTTTAGATATAAAAGAGACGGGAATGTGCAATTTTTTAAACGAAAATTTATTCAATTAAAGCGCATCGATTTTATAAACGTAAAATATAAATTAAGTGTTTCTTCGGTGTTTAGATCTTTTGGTTTTCGTAAAGCAATAAATGTGAAAAAAATAACTTAATAAATTTTGTTTCTTTCAAATATTACGAAGTTTCTATCAAATAATTTTCGCTATAAATTAAATTAGATGTATACTGTCTACGACGATTTCACATATATCCCGAACTGTAACTAAGCTTCTTCACTAAATATTCAATTTTGCCTTCGTTATTAAATATCAAAATATTAATAATTCGATGTCTTATTAATTTAATATATTTTGAAAATTACAGTAATTGTCCAGAACTAATTAGTCAGACGGGTGGGAGTTTCTTTCGTGTTCTTTAAGCGAAACTTCGTCTAAAAATTGTTCACCACAAAACGGACATTCCAAATAGCATTCTTCGACGTCCATTTCTGGTAAGAATTTCACTTGTGAGGAACCTTCCAATTTGATAATTTCTAGATTAACGTCAACGTTTTCGAGGAATTCTTCACATTCTTTTGAAGTAAAAAGGTTCTGTTCTGAAGAAATTTCTTCATATGCTATTGACTGTGGTCTTTGAAAACTTGTCGATGGTTGTTCAAACAATTCTTTCTGGTCTCGTTGAACGTCTTGTGTTCTTTTCTGAAAGTAAATGACATAAATAACATAACTGTACACCATTTACTGATATGTGGATTGCATAAATATATGTAATTTAAAAAATTATATACTAAATTATGTACTTGTTTTGCTATAAAAGTTAACAAATTTTTAACCTGATTGAGGTAAAATATTTCACAATATTATAAGAAAAGTGTGAATTTTCATTTTAACAAATTTTGAGTAATTAATAACCCGAAAAGTAATCTGTAAACAAATGTAAATGCTTTTCGGTAAAGTAATGTTATCAAAGCAAATTATGTCAGAAAACAACAGCGTAAAATAAAACAATATAATCACGAGAAATATACACCAGTTGTTAATTTATGTGAAAACAAAGAAGTCATCGTTTTTTAATTATTCGATAGATATTTGTGTAAATCCACTGAACAAAGAACTTTCACACATCAAAGTAAATTTCCCTTCATTTATATAATTAAATTTGTATTTGAGCGTATATCCTCATAATTATTCAATAGAAAACAAACGAAATTCGATGTCCATAAATTGTCATTAAATCGTAATGAGTGAAAATGAAGTTTATTCATGAAAATATCGATTTTCTGAAGTATTTAATAAATTGTAATTTATTCTAATGTTAAATATTCTAATATTCTAATTCTAATGTCTCATCATGGATACATGAAATGACAGAAACGTTTCTTTACCTGCTGCTTATCGAATGAATCGTAATTTATACAAAAAAATGCTTAGTTTGAGCGTATTAATGGCTGATATTAGACGACGAATTCAAAATCGTTGTATATTTTTAATACAGGAATTTTCCTGTTAATTAAGAAAAAACTTATTTTCTCGGAGTCTCGAATGAAACAAATACACGTGTTTAAAATATTTGCGATGAATGAATATTGAAACAATGGATGCTCGTTAACTAAGTGAAGTTATTATTATAATGTTTTCACTCTAAGAGACGGCTGTGTGTTAAAAGTTAGTCATTAACATATTTAAGTACTTACTTCGGAGCAAGATGGAGTTTTGTCTTTCCGATGGATTCTTCTGATGTGTCTGTCTAAACTACTTTTGGTAGTGAAAGTGCCGTTGCAGACATTGCACGAAAATGGCCGTTCTCCGGTGTGAGTTATCAAGTGACGTGTTAACATAGCGGGAGATGCACAAACTTTTAGGCAAGAATTACATTTACGGCTTATTATCCTCGGGTCGTTTGGTGGAATCTAATTATTTAATAAATTCTTTGTTAATTGTTAACAATATATAAAAACATAAAACGTAACTTTTTAAACGCAAGAAGTTCATGACAATTTTATATAAAACAGTTTTCAAATAATTTTCACTATATATTTCAATGTGATGATGTTGAAGTTAAAAGTAAAAGATTGTGTTCAAGTTTTATTAAATTATGTTTATAGAAAATTATTTTATAAAAATACAGCTAACGAGGTGCTGCACAGTAATTTTCTTAGATCTTGTTATTGACACTAGCAATTACGCACATTACGAACAACTGTTTTTGGAAATTTTTTCGACTGTAATCTGAATTTAATCTTAAAAAGTTAATAACATAATTTATAATTTTAACACCAACTTAATAATACGGTGAACAATAAAGAAAGCTTATTAAATGCAAATAATAAATTAGAAAATAACAATACGAAGATGTATCTTGTTTTTATCAATAGGAATATCAAGTATAAGAGTAATGATTGTGAAGAATGATTCGCTTCATAATTTAACATTATTGTAAGTAAAATTTTATATTATTCACATTTATCGTAGGTTATTAATTACACTGGTTAATTTATTATTGATAACGTTTATCTCATTTTATAAATGTTTATGAGAGGATTAATTCGCAGAGGTTGAATACAGAGAACGGGTTTTCATAGAGAATACAAATAAACGTAATCACAACAACAACAACAAATAAACGTAATCAATTAAAAATTTTTGAACGATCGTCAAAACCAATAAAATACAACGAAAAGTGTTCAACGCCAAAAGAACAATGATGATATTTACAGTTGCTTATTAATATTATTATTTTAATATCTGTTCGTGTAAATAAACACAGTTGCATTGAGTATTGTTTGAATATTAATTCAATGTTTTATATTATCCTGTTTAATTAATTAATTAATGATGATCTGTTTGTATATTTTAAGGCTTTTATCGCTTTGATAATTGAAAAATAAAAACGTAAATGAAAATATAGGAACTTGTGGTAATATTTACTTTAGATAAAATCTTATCAAGATGAGATATATACATGTGTTGTTTCAACTCATTTTTCCGTTTAAAGCTCTCTTCACAACCATTGTAATTGCACTTGAACGGTTTTTCATCCGAGTGCACTTTCATGTGAGTTGTTAAATGACTCTTCTGCGTAAAGCTTTTTTCGCACAAATTGCATTTATACGGCCTTTCATTCGTGTGAATTCGCATGTGTACTTGCAAATGACTTTCATAAAGAAATGTCTTCTCACATGTCGGACATTTATGTTTTTTCTCCTTTTAAATTAATTCGTTGAATAAATATAAATAATTAGTTAAAAACGTAAATAAAAATTATTCACAATAATATAAATCACTGTTATGTATTACAATATTATGTTAATATTTTTATAATATGCGCTCTATCTTCGATATAAAAGTAAAATTTACAGTTTATGTTATTTTGTGAATTTTTAATGAAACAGTTTGGAAAATTAAAAATATATTATACACATTAAATGAAAGATTTCACTTACCATTATGATTTAAACTTATTTTAATTTAGTTATTTAATTCAAAGTCGAAATTTTTGTCAAAATAGAAAAGAACAATGCACCGAAATAATGTAATTTCTTCATTGTTATGTTTTGATAATATTAATCATGCATAATTGCGCGTGTCTCTGAACATAAGAATAATTAGAAAACAGAACGATATAATAGCTTCTGTATTGGAGAAACGCGTGTGAAGAATTTAAGAGTAACACTATGACTTCTGTTTCTTGTTTAAATTATTTTTGAATTGTTATTATTTTACTTTTTCTCCTCTATACTCAGGAAGAGTAAAAGCGCGGTTTGATAATACTCAATAGGAATGTGTGAGTTTACACTAATATCTACAATTTTCGAGTTTTGTACTGTCGAAATAAGGAATGTATTCAAAATTATCTTTTTACTTCTATTTTTTAAAATTGTTAATATTATTATTTATTTATGACAATGTGGTCATAAGCGTATTACAAGTATCTAAGCAACATATAAATACACTATAACAAACAGACAATGAAAAATAATGACAATAAAACAAAAATAAACAATCAACATACAAATTCGAACATGATTCAAGCTTCTGATACCATGTTTAAATTGTTTGTAAGTTTTCTCACGTTCGTGCTCTTCTTTTAGTCAATTCCAATTGTATAGCATTTGGTAGATCGGCGTGGTTCGGCCGAAATTATGTTCGAATGTTGACAGTAGCGGGATATTTTCCCATCTGTAACATCTGAATATGGGCCAGATACCCTCAAGTATTAAACATGTACTGCGCGAATGTCCTGAATATGCTGGTGCTTGTGCGAGTCAGTTCGGGAGTAGAAGTTTGTCAAGAATTTCGTGTCATACGCTAAGTGTTGAGAAGGATCTGAACTTAGTAAAAGTCGTTAATAATTACAGAAAAAATTTAGTGAATGAGTCATTTATTTATTTCTGTTTAGATGTTACATTTTTATCACTATTGGCTTTTTAATGATTAAATACTTATATTTTGTATATATGTATTTACCTATATAGTTATTTTTTAGTACTAATTTGACCATGTGTCATGGTGCGGTATAGCTTGTATGGTTCTTATCAATAAAACTCAACTAAACAACCGTGTTAGCCTGTATGTCTACCATCAAAATAACATGAATTAATTCTTTCTTACTTGGGACCAGTTTTTTATTTGTAATTAATTAATTAATTAGCCGTTTTAGATAGGAAACGGAAAGAAAGTTTGAAGTAAGGTGATAAGCAGCAAAAGGAAGTTAGATAGATAGGAAGAAGGAAGGAAGTGACCATGGGATTCATGGGCGCCTGCATCACCTTTATTTAATAAACAAAACAAAATACAGTTACAGGATACTGTAACAGCATAACAATTATGGAAAATTCATACAAAATAAAAGGTGTAACAATATCTACAGTATTCGGGGTTAAGGTTTACAATTTAATATAAGGAAATACTAAACAATTAATGTGAAGTTATATGTGTACATGGCATAAACGTTCAGAAACTGTCTGTGCTATCTTTATTAGTTTCGCTTTTCGATATTTGGTGGTTTGACTATTGTCATTCGGTGACTGTTGCTGTATTTTGAGATTGTCCGGTTTAAGTTCTTTTTCTATCTTATGTATATGTCTTTTAATCCAGAAAATTCCAGTAGACTGTCTTACAGCTTCAAGATCAGGAACAATATTTATAAAAATATCAGATCACATATACATTTCAGGCCTATTTCGTTATTAGGCCCCTCTTCAGTATTATATTACAATAAATTGAAAAACTATTAATAACACAACAAAAAATACAACTCACGCTGATCTTATCTTATAACAAATAATTTTATCATACCCCAAAATGAGTAACATAAGGTATATTTACATAAATCTTTCCTTCCGTACATCTATATTGTACTTTTTCTGTTATACACTTGGTAAACCTTTTTCTTAAACAAATAAACAATAAAATTTGGTGTAACCGAATAAAAAAATTATTTATATAAAAACTATAAAAAATATAAAAGAAGTTACAATTTTTTATATCATCCATCAGAACATTTAAAGTGGGTGTATACCTTGTTTTTATTAAAACACAAAAAACCTATTGTTTAAAAAATGTTCCAACCTCCTTATTACACACACATTAGTGGAATAATCCACAGTTCCAACTCTTTACTAATGTGAACCGCCGGGTAGGTTGGAGGTCTCCCTTTCCGGCGACAGGTCGTTCAACCTGCTCACTGTCAAGATGGTTTAAATGTTTCTTTTTTCCCTATCATCATCATCATCATCATCATGGTCACAGAGGAGTCTTTTTTCCCTATCCCGCGGTAACGGGATTTAATTGTTCGGATCGAGTGGAGGAGGGAGGAGTGCCGTCGGTAAGGTGACAGGCGATATACGAGTAAACTGAGGACACCAATTTAACACGGAAACAACGATTTATTAGCTATCTACATAGACGGTACAATAATTATTATCGAGGGAAATTTCTGAGTCCATAAAATGCGAAGGGCCGAGAGAGAGTTCACAAAAATTTGTTCCATACCTCTTTATGTCTTTAAATATTCTTGAGGTAAAAGGTTATGATATCCAACGGGTTCCGAACTGGTAGGATAAGAATAATAATTTTTCAGGACACAATATATCGATAGGACACAGTATATCAATAGAACACAATATTCGAGGAAATTGTAGTTAGCGGCTGATGAACGACTCCCCCGAGAGGGGGAAACAAGTGGCTTTTATAGTTTCGTCGTGGGAGAATGATCATGTGACCAATTGTTGTGAGGTAAAAGATACGCGGATGGGTCAAAGTTGTCCCCGGGCCCATGCTAACTATCAACTTTGGAGTTGGAATGTGGGATTATTTTCGAAATAGACGGATGTTTACTTTGAACGAAAGGGGAGGTTGGAATTTTCCCCCTTTTTAAGTTAGGTTTTAGTTTAGAATTTAAAGGAAAATTTAATTGGGGTTTATAAAAATGCGGGATATTAATCGAAAAATTCGGTAAAAATTCCGGATTTCACACTAACATTTTCACACTAACGCGACGTTACCTAAAAGAAAAACAAAAAGGAAAAACCCGAGAGACAGCGGCGGTCGCAATGGATTGTAAATAACTTACAACTTAATCGTGACGTGTCAATAACTTCCGCAACGGAAATAATACTGTGACGCGATACGAAATACTATGACGCGATACGAAGGAAAAAACGAGAGAGAGTTGGAACAACTTCGTTAACTCATTTTTTATTCAAACCAAAAATCCAGCTTGCTCGTCGGGAACAAACGCGATTTTAGAAAGTTCGCGGTGATGTGAGGGCCCGGATTTAAGATTCTAATATTTTTATTCATTAGGTTAAAAGTTAGGGTTAACTTCAAACGAGAAAAACAACCGACAAATTTTCTCATAAAATTTGCTCATAAAACTCTGTTCTCACGGGGATACTTCCTTGTAAAGAATGAGTTAACAGTTGTGTCATAAATTTGTCACTTCGCCCACCATTGGTCAAAGAAGATCATTACCTGTGACGTACATGGGGAAATTTCGAAAACAGAGCCCCCATATAAAGGGCAAGTGCGATGACGACACAAGGGGGAACAAGTTATTCTTTCGATACTGTGAGTGTGCCCGTGAATTACCTGCCTCTCGTCGCAACCGTCTTCAATAGACTTTGAACTTAGACTTCGATTTTGGACTGATTTGAACTTTGAACTTGGAAGAACTCGGATCAACGTTATAGCGACATAACCAGAGGTATTTATTCTGCTAGGGAGAGTATGTAAGCTCTCTCTCGATCGCGACTAATTTATATTTTGTCTGCTATCAACCCCGAACTTATGAATCGAATCTTATGGAATCCCGTGAGGGAACTCCAACCTAGATTTAGGAAATACTTATCTATGTAAACTGTTCAATAATAAACGGGTATATTGTTAATGAACTTGGATTGGTATGCGTTTCTTTCGCCATTATCCACTCGATCCTGAACGCAAACGAGAGTAGTCGTAATAACTCCTCCTCCATTTAACCGCGTGTCTATCCGCGACGGAAATGATAGATTGGTGTCAGATCCTGACGTGAAATAAGGATCTCGCGATCCTTAAGTAAACCCTTCGCTCGAGAAAAATCCATCCTTTAGACAAGCGAGACCGGACCTCAAGGTCTTGAGTCGAGTAAGTGGTAGGAAAGTCCCATCCTCGTAAACATCCTATCCTCGATTAGTCTCACACTTTAAATAAATCAATTTTCATAAAAGATTAGTTAGGAATAGAAAACAAAAATTTAAATATTGCCAAAATGATAAAACAGTGAAGACGGCACTACAAAACACATTTAAAGAGAATCAACTAGCCTGCATTTCTGGAAAATCAATGTGTTTTAAAAAATGCAATCTGCTTTATCCATCTTTAATTAAATACTTTACTTCGACGACTTAAAAACTTAAAATTTGAAAATGGAATATTGTTTGATTTTCTTAAAATAAAAATTGATGGTATGGAAAGAGATAAAGAAAAGCAATGTGCTTTAATTTTGGATGAAACATGTCAATGCTATAACATGTGATATTGGATCTATAAATCAGGCAATGTGAAAAGCCTTTGGCATTGTTAGCGGAAAATTTAATAAATTTGTATATTATATCCCACTTCTTTACTGTTCAAAAGAAATCATTGAGTTTATTGCTAATCCATTGCATCTTTTTAAAAATATTCGTAGCTGTCTTTTAAGCAATACTGGCAGTTAATCATCAGTTAGAATTTTGCTTTCTCTGCTACATTTGTGAAGTAGATAACCTGAACAATTAAAGCAGAGCATTATTTAAATATGAATAAATATAGTAATGATTTAAAATGAATATAATCACTTCCAGCCACTTTCCACTGAGTCGATTATCCACAAAAGTAATTGTACCGGTACATACATACATAACATTAATAATTAAGCTACTCTAGTGATACCACAGAAGCCTAAATGATGTCGCAAATCCTGGCTATAACTGCTCGCAATCAGTTAAAGCACTTAAAGATATAAAAAATAAAATGTCAGAATCATCGATGTTTATCAAGAGTTACATAGATTTGAAAAAACAGTCATTTTTAATATAATATAATAAGAATAGGAAAATAAGAGTTCCTTTTCTTCAATTTATACATTAATATAAATTAAACCATTTGCTAAGAGAAGTAAAACGATTTCTTTAAAAGAAATGATTCATTTGATATCATTGAATTTTCTAAAATTTAACATCGTGTTAAATCAAAAATAAGAGTTAAATAGAACTTTGCATGTTGTTAAGTTATATTAGAACAAGCAATCATGTTAAATTGCCTCAATTGAAAATAATACATAATAAGGAAATATTACAGAAATTAATGTTGTTTCTTTAATTATTTTGGTAAATGTATGAACTGTAATGAATTAGTAATTTTTCTCCATTAATTTATAATGTTATTAGAATAAATATGTGAATGTATAAAATACATTTGTATTCAGTTGTATAAAAAATTCATTTGGATTATCAGAATTGTATTACAGAATTACAGTAAACTAAATTGATACGCATTTGTACGAAAATTGTTTCAAAAATAAAATTTATAGTGAAGTGAATCTTATTAGGTTAAAATTTGAACGAAAAATGCAGGGCTGTGGAGTCGTGTAAAAATCTACCGACTCCGACTCCGACTCCACAGCCCTGGAAAAATGTTAAAATCAGAAGTGGAGAATAACTCCGGTAAACTTTCTATTTCAAGATGGCGCCGGCAATACGAAATGGAGGAATTCGAATTCGTTGATTTTTGCAATGCATCACGCGTATTTCTCTAAGAGCATTATTCACAAAAGCCGTGTTTGAAAAAATTAAAGATTTTATTGTATGTTATCAATTATTTTTGTATTGTTAAGAAGTAGTAATTTTTAAGGTTACAGTTGCTTTAATTTTATATAAAAGTTTTAGTTTCATATTTGTAAACACGGTAAATAAAATGTGCGTAATTATTCAAGAAAATTCAGTTCACTCATAACTTCAACGAACAGCACGCAAATTCTTCCAAGTTTTACCTTCAAATTGTAAAATTTATGTGAGCATATTACAAAAATTTACTTATTTTTTCAATCCTATTTTTTTAATGAAATTTTTTCGATAAATTCCAATTCATTACACTATTCGTTATTACTAAATCTTTAGTTCAAAATCATGGTCTTCCATAAGAACACAATCGTCTGTATCAAGTACTTTAATACTATCCAATACTAACGTTGATAAAACTAGTGGTTAAAAGCATAAAGCTAAACATAAGCAAATCGCGCATGGGGAAAATATATCTTTTTAATTCGAATTTATTTTAATAAAGTATTATCGAAAAACGACTATCAACAATGAATTATCGATGATCATTGTTCAATAATAGATACGGCCTAAATTTCTACAGTTCAAAATCACAAAAAACAGCAAAGATTCAAATTTAAATGGTAGGTGATATCATTCTGTTCTGCAAACTGATGGTAGGAAATCAGTCGTTTGCACTACCGTTACATTTCAGGCTAAAAAATTTCAAAAGTTTTAATCGTTTTCAAGTTATAAACAACTAATACCTAATCTTAAACAAACAATAAAATTAATAAGAAAGTTTTTCAGGAAAACCTTCCTCCGGAGAAACATGATACAGGAAATCTTTTTTGTAAAATTTGCAAAATAATCTTCGAAAATCCTTCTCAGCTACGAATTCATCTGAAAAGTCACTCGAGAGAACTTCGTCCCGGAGAGGAAATTCCGTCTTCCTCTAAGGTACGATCTGAAATGCTTTATATAATATAGCTTAGAATAAATATACGCTTCCATAGAACCTCAACAATAATCTCTCCCCCTTTTCATTTTCTTGATAATGTGTAATTATTTAAGTTTAATTCATTATTATATTAGTATTGAATAATTAATTATGAAGAAAACCACATCGTCCACGAGTGAAACAAATATTTAGTAACGAATTTAAAGAGTATTGCATCGTATGCATTTGAATGCTTCGAATGTTCGTTATACTGTCTTGTCTAACAGCTGAATATAGACCAGTTTCTTACGAACACAGTTTAATCGGGGGAGTTTTACTGGGGGAACTTACAGTTTTCCCGGGGGAATTTTTGTAAAAAACTGGCAGATGGCTCTTTGAGAGATGGCCCAAGTACTGAATTCTTTATATCACCAATCCTATCGTTACGTATGGATCTGATATATGATTTTATACTATACACCAGAGTTTAAACATTTATGCATCTGTTTCATATATTTATACGTATATGGGTAGTTACAGCTTCATAGCTTACTATTTTCGGGTTTTTCTTCATGCCAATCACGAGTTTGGGCAGGCTCATAATGGTGACTGCAGAGTAGTGTGGGGAAGACCCGATATATCAAGACATACTTTTCAATAAACATTCTTGCAGGTTTTCGTTCGGATTAGATGATGGATCCCCTAGAGTTGTAGGCTATCAACATAACCTTCTCGGCCATTTAACCATCCTGTAGGAAAAGTTACTATTAATAGCGAACGATAAAACCGTTTATTTGGTTGTATATAAAAATGGGAGAAATTATTTTAAAATATTAAAGAACTTTCAGAACTAATTAGTCCGAATTAATCAACTCGAGGATAGACAAATACTTTTAAAAATATTCTGTTTTTTCTACAGGAAAGTAAGGTCGCTAAAAAATATGAGTTCAGTGAACAGACCGATATTTCTTCAGATACTAGTCAATACGAACGACACAGCCCTGGCTCTGAAAAACAAGTAATCAAAGAGGATTATACTGACATATACGAGGAATGGATTGCACAAAATCCAATCACATCTAAAATTCCCGTTCTAGATATTACAGAAGAAGACTTTTCTAGTAAAATCACCCCAATACAATACGAAGAATGTAGCCATGGATCTGAAAGAGAAACAACAAAAAGAGATGATACTTCTGACATATACGAGGAATGGATTGCAGAAAATCCAATTTCATCTAAAATTCCCGTTCTAGATATTACAGAAGAAGACTTTTCTAGTAAAATCACTCCAATACCAGGAGGATACACTCATGAATCCGAAAAAGAAACAAGAGGAGATGATCCTTCTGATATATACGAAAAATGGATTTTGGAACATTCTATTATAGCAGAATTTCCCGTTTTAGATCTCATAGAAGAAGACTTTTTTACAGAGAACAGACAAATACAAGACATAGGAAGTATCCATACTTCTGGAACAAAAGAAGACGATGATTCTCGTTCACAACAGAAAGATATCCCACAACCAACTACCTCAGAACGTCCAATCCTAGATTTCGAAGAAGACCCTGAAAATTTAAGAGAATTGCCTTTAGAAGAGATTTTAAAGCATTTCGATTGAATACATAAGAAACTGCAATAAATCAGTTTCATTAAAAATTTATTATATCGAAAATTACAATAAATTCACAAAATTGCTGCTTTTAATAAAAACTAAAAAAAAGAAATAATAATAAATTACGATTATCATTAATTTCACCCTTAAAATTCTATTATTTTTGAATTTTAATTTAAAAAAATTGAATCGAAAACATTTAACGATGATTTAACTTTACAGTGAGTGGAAGAATTGTACTACGTTTAAAAGAAATTACTACAGAAGAATAATATTCAATGTATCATTCAAATAAGGTATTTATTGTCGTATAAAGCAAAGAAAAGCATAATAATACTGTATTTACATTTTCAATATGTTCAAGTGGGTAATCAACTAATCACAGTAATAGAATGATCCAAACAATTCCTCTGCTCTGACCAATGGAACAGAAACGACAGTGTACATAATTCTACAAGAATTTCACATCAACTAGCTGATGTGTCCAACTAAATATTTTAACAATTAGGGCCAGTGCTTGGGGTGAGGCATTGAGACAATGGAACCAGGTGACGCAAGTGGAGCGGCATTTTCGGATGGCATATTAAAAAATATATACGTACAGTATTGTAACGTAAAAATCTTTGATAATTTTTCAATGAAAATATTCCAATTAGCGCTTTATTTTTATTTATTTTTTTTTATAATTTTGCGCCAACCAGATGCAGTTTTTGTGATACGTTTCGTGATGTCAAGCAAACGAATGCAATTTTTTCAGTTCTTGATTGCATTCTGTTTATTAGTAAGTCAGATAACTTTTAATTTTTGAACTTACTGAAAAGCTTTCCATTTCTGTTAAGGGTATGTCGATATTGATCAGTTTTGGCTATATTTTTATGGGCTGTTTATGTATAATATACATAAATAAAATGGACCAAAAGATGGTACTGAGAAAGACGAGCAGTAAAGAGACGAAATATAGTTGCAGAAGTGAATGGTACCTTCGTTAAGAAAATTACGTTGATCCCGCGAATTGGTGAAATATAAGTAATTCGAAACGTCAACTTATTATAGAAAATGGTCCAGTACGAGATACCGCAATTGTCTATCTCTTTCTCAATACACAATTGTATAACCTCAAGTCTATTTCTACACCAAACACATAAACTCTCGTGTTTGATCCCGTTCTATCGCGCCGTTCTAGCCAATATCCGGCCTCGATATCCGAAACAGTAAAAACTTTAGTTGCTAGGTCAAATGTCCCAGTTACAGGTAAAGTTCAGAAACCGAGTAAAGTCAATGTAGGTGGTAAAGACGAAGCGGTGTTGCTTATCAAAGGGAAAAATAATAAAATGAATAGTGATGCAATTAAAAAAGTTTTCTTAAGAATATTATTCCAAGGAAAGGTAAGGTGGGGATTGGTAGCATCCACAAAATGAGAAGTTCAGGGATTATGGTGAACCTAGCTCTAAGGTGGACCTTGGTAAGGTCTTAAAATATCATAAATTGCAGGATTCCGAGTTAAGTATAGAACAGTTGACAAAAATAAGGCCTAGAATGGTGGTAAAATACGTACCTAAGAGTATGTCTATAGAAGAAGTAATGGATCAGATACAGGGAAACCTCTATGGTGAGGAAACCCTTTTAGAGGTATTTAAAGGTGATTTTAACTTAAACAGTGTAACTAAATATAACTTCTTAATAAAAAAAATTTGTCGAATATCTGTCAACTTTCACATTTAAAAGTATATTTTCCTTTAAGTTCTCAGTGTCGAAAAGGTCAGTAGCGACATGAAGGTCAGTAGTCATCTTAAACGACAGCAGGTCAGTAGGTCGCTTTTCCGCGACCTACTGACCTGCTGTCGTTTAAGATGACTACTAGCGGCCAATTGGGTCAGTCGTCGCTAGTTTCTCCAAGAGTCCGGTTGAACAGCCTTGAGTCGTCGCCGATTTTTCCACTACACAAGAAGTGGTTATCAGTTTCTCAATAATTAAGGGTCGCTGACTGTCTCTCCAACCATATAGCCCAATCATCACCTACTCCAATAGATAGATCTCCAGAACTAGAAATAAAAATATTTTGAAAAACCAATGGAGTCAGATAAATTGTCTTAATAGCACAATAGAGGAGGTGCAGTCACGTGATATAACGTCATCGCTCCGCCCACCAAAACAATCGTCCGCCATAT